TGAGGATTGTTTAGATGAAAATAGAGAGGAAATGAGAGGAAATGAAGTATTGTTTGTTTAGAAAGTGAAATAAGTGGTTGAAATTTCATAAACATAAGCTTAAAGAGCTCATCAATGGTGGTTTTGGGTGGTTGCAAATATTGATGACAATGGCATTATGGTAAATAAGGAGAAATGTTTAGGGTGTAATAGGTTTTTTTTATAATTTTCAAAAATAAAATCAGATTTAAAAATAATGGCAATTTGGTAAATAGGTGGAAACATGAGGAGAGTTTAGGTTTTTTAAGAGTGAATAGTAATGACAAAAAAAAAAGGTTGATTTTGTGTTTGACTTGAAATTTTGGGTTGGTTTTGCAAAAACCCCTTATATATAAGTATTTGTATGATTAATCTATGAGACTAAAGAATATTCCAAGTATTTTGTAGTTACTTTGTTTAAAATATTTACAATAAATATAGTATCTTATCTACCACAATAGTTGATATTTACAAAACCGAATTCGTAGTTTGAATATACTTGATGTGTGTTTGTTGGAAACAATATCAAAACTGAATATCCCATAATGTCGTTATCTATCAACTGCATACCATAATATCTAAATGACATAAATCTATCATGTTTGCATGGAACTTACACCGAATACCTTAAATGATTACACCCTAACCGTATGGAAAATGAATCTCTAAGCTCTAAACCCTATAACATTATAAAATTTAAACCAAGAATGGAACTTTGATATATACGACAAAGTTTTCAATACTATGATTTGATTTTACAAACCGAAACCAGAGGATAACAACTTCGCGAATTTTGATTAGGATAAACAGAGACTATATTAAGACAAATCAAGATTAAGCGGTAACAGAAAATAGTTTAGGGAAGCTAATCTAGTGTTAGTCATGTCGTCAAGTTTTGATTGGCTAAATCCTAGGTGTATTGATGAGTCACATATGAATAGATATCTCAGTTAAATTTAAAATTTAAACAACCAATTAAATTATAACATTTTCATTTAAGTTTGCTCTCATTTAATAGTATGATATAATTTTTTGTTCTATAGATTTATGGAGATTTATTCGTAAAAACATATTCTTTTTCTATGTATGTTGAAGATTTCTTTTTATCTTATGCTAGAGAAAAACTCTTGGCTCAGAAATCAGTCGGTAGTGTCCTACTCTTAGGGTCCGACTGGTTAAATCTCAGCGGTTGCAGGCGTTTGTAGATGTGGATGAATGCAGCGTCTGACATTCTTAAATGATTTGTATGATTGGTAAAATGATTAAAAATTAGTAAGTTTATTGGATGTTTATGATTGGTTGATTATAAGATATTATGACTGGTAATAATAAATTATTAATATTAACACATTAAAAATTATTAAATATCAAAACATACTATTATGATAAGTATCAATATAATAGAATTAATAACAATATTACATTTATTTTTTAAATGAAATTTATAATTTTAATAAAATTTATTTTGAAGATTTATATAATAACTTTAAAATAATATTTTGTTTCTTTTATATATAACAATGTTTAAAAATGATAGTGAATATTTTGGTTTAAAGTTTTTATAAAATAAATTCTGAATCTAAATTAAATAAAAAATGTTTATATAGTTTTATGATTTTTTTTCTTGTATGCACCTCCTAGGGTGAACATGTGCGTTCACCACTAAAATAATAGCCAATAAATATTTTATGAATCATATTCTTTTTATGAAAAGAAGTAAAACATAATCAGAAAATATTATTAACTAGGTGATGCTCTTGTACTTATGCACGGATATAGATATTTATAAAATATATAACCTATAATAATTTATTAATATTTTATTTTTATTAAGTCATAAATCGTTTTCTAATTAATTTGTATTAAAAATGAAACTTTTTTAAACGAACACCTGATTTTTATTATAAATAATTTAATCAATTATTTTTGAATATATGAAATTGCTTGTTTCCATCTCAACTGAATATAAAGGTTCCATCTTCGAAATAAGCTGAAATTCAATTAACTTTATAAGTTGCATTTAATATGATTTATTGTCTTGTATTCATAATCTATTTTCATAAAATTATGGATAATTTCATATATGTTATTTTAGGAAACAAATAGAAAAGTATTGTCATCCTAGGGTTTTGTAAGTGAACATAATCGGTAATATTTCGAAAGTTTATGCATATATATATATATTTATTACCAAAATAAACTGTAATAATTTGTTAATATATTTTTTTTTTCTTATTTTTTTTTTGTAATTTACATAGTTAAAAAAAAGAACACTATTCTAAGTAATGTAACTGGGTTAAATAGGTTTCTGGTTTTGAGTATATTAATCATGATCAGTTCCTTTCTCATTGTTTGAGTATATTGAATTGTATATATTCGTCTAAAATGAACAACAACTATTTTTTTATTCTAGTTAGGTTAAAACTGATTAATCTTTGTTGCATTTATTTTAGTTTTAAGTTTTCGGTATGAAAATATTTTTTTTTTCTAAAACAAATACTTATACTATTTTGGAACCTATGTTTATGTATAAAAATCTATATATTTTAAGACTTCTAAACATTTGTTTTATTTATTATTTTTTTGTAAAATATGAACATAAGTAAAATTAAAATTCTATATATATATAGATATATTTCATATATACATTCTGTATCTTTCCCTTTTATTATTTGTGAGAATTTTGTAATAAAATTTAAAAGAAAAAAGAAATAAAGCTATATACCTCATTATTAATTTATTAACCAAAAATAAAATAGAAATAATCTTAGTAATGTCAATCATGTGTACTTTATAATTCAATAAGGTTATGTTGTAATTAATCACTTTAAAAACTAACGTGAGAATGACACTTAAGAAACTATCTTTTCAAATAATATTATACAGATTTTGCAAAAAAAAGAAAAAAAAAAGAAAAAAAAATTTATGTTGATTTGACCAGTCAAACTCTAAACCGTAACCCTTAAGGTTCTCTCCCTAGGGTTTAGGATTCAACCCCTAAAATTTAGGGTTTCGAGTTCAACCCCTAAAATTTAGGATTTACAGCTTAGGATTGTGTCTCTCAAGCTGAATCATAACCATGACTTAGAAGGATACCTACTAACATTTGCTGAGTAAGACAACGTTAACAACTTTGACGTTTTCTTATTTATTTATTTTTTTTTCATTTTTTCTGTATATTATACTATTTTAATTATTTTTTTCATTTTTCAAAAGTTGAATATGAATTGGCAAATTATTATTAGCTGATGAATCTAAATGTTCATCCTAAGGACGAAAAGTCAATCATTATTTATGATATTCCATTTTGAAATTTATATTATACATATTAAAATATTTTTGGAAAATATTTATATATTTATTTAGTCACCTACAACTGTTTTCAAATGCTAGCGAAAAAATCTTTATTTTAAGAGGTTTAAAGCGGTTTAAGGTGTTTTTGTTACCGTTACAAAACACAAATAACCACACTTAACCGTAAAAGCTAAGAAAATATATTGATTTATATTTATTATTTTTATATATTTCTATTTCACTTTAACATAGTTGAGGAAACTCTAAAGTAAGAATAACTAATATGTTTATTTTATTTTTAAGAGTATAATAATGACTATTACAATAATTACTATTACAACTGAAAATATAATATAATGTGATAAATCATAAAAAGTTATATTTTAAAGTATTATATAAATAGTTTCAATAATATCACAAATAATAATTAATATATATATATATAAATATTATTTTACAACAAATGATGTTTTATAATATATGTTTGCTTCAGTTTATATTAGATTTTCAATTTATAATGATTTATTCTTTAATTTTTAGTGTTTTACTAATTATATTTGTAAATTATTTTAACATTTGTTGAACTCTGTTTTATACCAAAATTATTCAGATTTCTGGTGTTCACGAATCCAGACAACATGAGATACAGTTTTCCCAATTATATATCTTAAACTGATACCACAGAAACTAAAATTTTGAAATTAAAAACTAAACCGTTAAAGAACTTTAATCAGATTATGTTGGGTTCATTAAAAAAAATAAGAAGTATTACTTTATTATTGAATTCAAACTTTTAAATTTAGTTAGATAATGCGCCTGAAAACACTCTCTCTAGGGCTTAAACTCTTTGATCTCAAGAGGGACGGCCGTCTTAAACGTTGGAGCTTTCTTGGAAGCAGAAGCTCTGCTACATCAGTCTAAAAGGTTGTGGTAAAGGTTGTGGTGATGGCCAACCAGACTTTCTAAAATATGGGATTATCATTAACTCATGTGTTGATTTTTTAAATTATCTTGGTCAGCACAAGAGTTGGATTCAGAGTTTGGCTGACAGCACTAGGCATGTCGTCACCTTGATAGTCATCAAATCCCAATCAGTTCTAGTTCACATGGATTAATGTTAGGCTTATTTTGGACATGAATATTTAGTCCACATAGAATACAAACCTACTCCAAAAAGTTAGGCACATTAGGACGCTGGTTGGTTTCAAAGATATGTACCACTGGAGGAGAAATGAATTTTAGAGAGCTTAAGCTGGAAGGTCAAAATCTGCACAATAATATCTTGAATACATCATGGGAGGGATGCCTGTTGGAGAGATTCACTCGTGCTCTGTGGAAATTTTTGAAATAACATGTAGACTGCTTAAACTGAGAAGGATATTAGGGGCGTCCAGACATTACCATGAGTTGACCAACCTCTGTGACGAGAACATTGGTGATCTTATTTCACCGTAAAAAAACGAAGACGGTTGTGTCTGTTGCGATCTGTAACCAGAACACGGTAGCTAAATAGTTGTATGTTGGGATTGTGTAAGTGATTTTTTTGGCTGAACATGCGTGTATAGTCTAGCAAGTAAATCTTAAATATAAGTTCGACTGAAATACCTCACAGTAAAAACTGCAGTGTCGTCATGCACCATGCTAATGTGAAACTGTGAAAGACGTGAATCCACGCTGCAGTTTTAGGTAGCATTTAGAGTAGGAGCAGTAGCAACATCCATTAGTGGTGTCAATGTCTCCAACCTCGACAGTGCAAAGAAACTTTGCAGTCTACATTACATGGTCCAGGAGGAGGAAATTATAAGCATGTGGAGATCAAGTTTATGAGCTAATATATAGCTAAAAACGAATGGAATTCACCAACCTGTGGTGGAGAGTTAAGAACGTAGTTGTTCAGCTCAGTAAGAGTTACTGGTTCATTTTTCTTCACACCTCCATACTTGGAAGCTGTGGAGCTGCTACCATCATCAGATCCATATAACCTACTATTATCTCAACGTATAGAATATGAACTCAAAGATTGTAAACTCACTTTATTAGCTCAAGAAAAATCACTCAAAAACTTAAGCTCTCACAAACAATCTCTAAGCACACACCAAGTACATGGCACAACTCACCATATTCTTATATAGAGATTATAGATAAACTTCTAACTTAAAACAAATCCTAAACATATCTCGAATAGGAATATCCTAGTTTATCTTTATCTTAAACTTCAAGTTNTATTAGCTCAAGAAAAATCACTCAAAAACTTAAGCTCTCACAAACAATCTCTAAGCACACACCAAGTACATGGCACAACTCACCATATTCTTATATAGAGATTATAGATAAACTTCTAACTTAAAACAAATCCTAAACATATCTCGAATAGGAATATCCTAGTTTATCTTTATCTTAAACTTCAAGTTTATCTCCAACATTCACCCCCATAAACTTGAAGTTGTTGTCTCTCAAATCTTCTACTCCCACCAGCTCTCTCATTTCCCTGAACTTTAATCTTCCTAAGGCTTTAGTAAGAATGTCGGCTTTCTGAAGGTTCCCAGCTACATGCTCCACCTCTACTTGATTATTATCAATACACTCTCTTATAAAGTGGTACCTCTTGTGAATATGTTTGCTTCTACCGTGAAAGACCGGGTTCTTTGTAAGAGCAATTGCTGACTTATTGTCAATCTTTATCATCACCTTCTTGCACGGCTCATTCATGACCTCACCAAGTAGTTCTTGTAACCAGATCGCCTGTTTGGCTGCTTCCGTGGCTGCCATGAATTCAGCTTCACAGGAAGAAAGTGCCACTGTTTCTTGCTTCTGTGAACACCAAGTAATGAGACAGTCATTTATATAAAACATGTGACCTGTTGTACTCCTTCCATCGTCAGCATCTACATTGTGACTGCTGTCACTATATCCTGTCACTGTCCACTTTGTCTCCTTTGACCTTCTGAAGTTTAGACCGAGTGCACATGTCCCTTTCACATACCTGAGAATCTGCTTTACTGCTGCAAAGTGAGATTGTTTAGGCTCATGCATATACCTGCTTAGTACTCCAACTGAATAGGATAGATCAGGCCGTGTATGTGTCAAGTAACGCATACATCCTATTATTCTTCTGTATTCCTTCTCGTCAGTGCTTGGTTCTTCTTGTGCCTTTGATAATGTCAACCCTGCATCCATTGGATATTGCGTTGCATTGCAGTCAAACATGTTGGTTTCTTCTAAAATTCTTTTAGCATATCCTTCTTGTTTCAAAACGATCCCTCCATCATACTGCAGAACTTCAATACCAAGATAGTAGGTTAATAATCCAAGATCACTCATCTCAAATTTTGTTGACATATCTCTTTTAAACTCCTCTATCATCTTGACACTCGATCCTGTAACCAAAAGATCATCAACGTATACTGCAAGTAAGAGTGAATCTCCTTCTTTACTCTGTCTATAGATGGATGGCTCCTTCGTGCACTTGGTGAACTTTAGATCCTCAAGTGTTTTGTTAAGTTTCTCATTCCACGCTCTTGGTGCCTGTTTCAATCCGTACAACGCCTTCCTTAGTTTATAGACTTTTGCTTCAATTCCCTTTACTACATATCCATCTGGTTGCTTGACGTATACATCTTCTTTTAGGTCCCCATTTAGAAAAGCTGTCTTAACATCAAGATGATGCACTTGCCATCCTCTTGCAGCTGCCAACGCAATCATAAGCCGTACAGTTTCTAGGCGTGCTACCGGAGAAAAGACCTCCTCATAGTCAATCCCATGGCGCTGAATGTACCCCTTAGCCACTAACCTTGACTTGTATTTATTAATAGATCCATCTGAGTTTCTTTTTATTTTGAAAACCCACTTCAACCCTATGGCTTTAGCTCCCACAGGAAGGTCTACTAACTCCCACGTCCTGTTTTTTTTCTATTGAATCTATCTCATCATCACACGCCTTTCTCCACACTTCTTCTGTACACGCCTCATGATAGTCGTATGGTTCTTCATTCAGCAGTAGCAGCAACTTTTCTCCTTCAACCTCTGCAAGATACACGTAATCATCTAGATAGGCAGGCTTTCTTGTAATCCGACTTGACCTTCTCAGTTCAGGTTCTGTTTCAGTTTCACTGTATCCCTGTGAAACTTGTTCCTCGTCGCCTTTAGTTTCAACAATAACTTCCTCCTGATCACTTCCTCCTATGTCTTCTTCTTCCTCCTGTATCCCATTATTTCCATATTCTCCAAGTGTTAGTTTAAACCTTCCAGGGACATCTTCAGCATTTATCTCAGAACTTGTACTCCAGCTCCACTTCTTAGTCTCAACAAACACAACGTCTCTACTGACCACAATCTTCCTATGTATAGGATCATATAGTCTGTAGGCTTTAGATCCTGGTTCTGTTCCTAAGTGAACCAGAGTTCTTGTCCTATCATCCAGCTTCCGTAGATGTGGTGCATCAGACTTTGCATAGCTTATACACCCAAAAACCTTCACGTGTTTGATGTTTGGTTTTCGACCTTTAAGTGCTTCATATGGTGTCATTGACTTCAACACCTTTGTTGAAACACGATTTATAAGGTAGGTAGAATGCCTCACACCTTCTCCCCATAGATAATTTGGAACCTCCATGTGTTTGATAATGCTTCTTGTCATCTCTAAAAGAGTTCTGTTTCGGCGTTCGACAACTCCGTTTTGTTGTGGAGAATATGGAGCAGTCAAGTGCCTGTTTATCCCTGCAACCTCGCAAAAACTCTTGAATTCATTTGAAGTAAATTCTCCCCCTCTGTCAGTCCTTAGCGTCTTTATACGTGTTTTAATCTCTCCCTCTACCATAGTTTTGAACCTTTTGAACTTCTCTAATGCTTCACTTTTCTCTTTGAGAAGTATTGACCACATATACCTTGAATAGTCATCGACAAGAACAAATATATATCTGTTCCTTCCAGCTGTCTCAGGCGTAATAGGTCCACACAAATCACCGTGTATTAGTTCCAAAGCTTCTGTTGCTCTGTAGCTTGTTGAGTCGGGAAACGGACGTCTTGATTGTTTACCAAGTAAACATGAGGCACAAGTCTCATGTTCGCGACTTAAATCTGGTATTCCTATCACTAGTTGATCTCTCACCATTGACTTCATAGACTGTTTCCCAATATGACCTAAGCGAGCATGCCAAATGTTCGACTCCTCTTGTGTGTTTGCCTGCAAACACTTGAGCTCAACGATATCCATAAGGACTTTGTAGAGCCTATTCTTAGATCTCTTAGCTTGTACTATAAGCTTTCCCTCTTTGTCATAAAGAGTCAAGTGATGATCCTTCATCCTTACTTCACAACCAGCTTCTGTAGCTTGCCCAAGACTGATTATGTTGCTCTTAAGTTCTGGTATGTAGTAAACATCAGCTAGTATCTTTTTATCTCCGCTTTGACTCACAAAAAGTATTGACCCCTTTCCCATGATATCAACTCTAGAGTCATCACCAAATCTCACTTTCCCTGTTATGGTTTCATCCATTGTCTTAAAGTAATCTCGTCTCCCAGTCATGTGGTTGCTATCCCCATTATCCAAATACCAAATTCTGTCACTCACTGAACCAGTTTCCAACTCTTTTGGCTTGACATTTTTCTCATTTAAATAGACTACTTCATTCATTAACAGACCATCCACCTCTTGTGTGTCATCAGCTTTAGTTTCATACGCTTCCTGCAGTTTCAGTAGCCTATCTGGACAGCCAGAAGCAAAGTCTCCCTTCTTATCACAGCGAAAACATGTGACTTTAGAGATGTCAAGCTCACGGTAGTTGTCTCTGTATGATATTCCACGACCACGTCCTCTACCATTGAATCTGCCACCTCTTCCTCTGTTTCCACTATAATCTTGATTCGTCTGAGTAGACTGATTATCTGAAGCTGCATACATCAACTTGCTTTGTTCTTCTTTGTTATCTTCTTCTTCTTCTGCTATCCATTCCTCGAATGCTTTTAGTCGTCCTATCACATCCTCAAAAGGTGTTATATTGAGGTCTAAAAACTGCTCAAGTGATGCTACCATATGTATATATTTCTTCCGAGGTAGGGCCTTGAGAAACTTCTTCACCAGCTTAGACTCCTCTATGATTACTCCTAGAGATGCAGATTTGGATGAAATTTTGGATATCTTGCCAACAAAGTCATCGATGGACTCGGTTTCCTTCATCTTCAAGCGGTCAAACTCTGTTGATATAGTTTGTAATCGAGCTTCACGAACTCTGTCTGCTCCGATATTTCGTGTCTTTATAGCATCCCATATTTTCTTTGCTGTGTCTAGTTCTCCCATCTGCAACACGAGCGCCTCAGGAATAGATTGACATATAAGAGCTACTGCCATGTCATTCTTACGGATCTCATTCGTTCCTTCCTCAACAACCTCCCAGACTTGATTTACCTTGAGAAGCATCTTCATCCGAATAGCCCAGAATGTGTAATTTGTTGTAGTTAACATTGGACATGTTATCGAAGAAAAGCTATCTTTAGGTTTTGCAGTTACGGTTGTTATATCTCCCATATTGACTTCAGATCTTTAGGCTCTGATACCAATTATTATCTCAACGTATAGAATATGAACTCAAAGATTATAAACTCACTTTATTAGCTCAAGAAAAATCACTCAAAAACTTAAGCTCTCACAAACAATCTCTAAGCACACACCAAGTACATGGCACAACTCACCATATTCTTATATAGAGATTATAGATAAACTTCTAACTTAAAACAAATCCTAAACATATCTCGAATAGGAATATCCTAGTTTATCTTTATCTTAAACTTCAAGTTNTATTAGCTCAAGAAAAATCACTCAAAAACTTAAGCTCTCACAAACAATCTCTAAGCACACACCAAGTACATGGCACAACTCACCATATTCTTATATAGAGATTATAGATAAACTTCTAACTTAAAACAAATCCTAAACATATCTCGAATAGGAATATCCTAGTTTATCTTTATCTTAAACTTCAAGTTTATCTCCAACACCTACTAAATAAAAAGACTCCCCTAATGTTTGAGAACAACATCTCCATTATTTCTTAGAACCCTAGCTTCTTTATTGATTATCAGAATGAGAGAATACAAGAACAGCAACAACGATTAGAAAGATAGTTTTGAGCTTGACTCCGGCTAGACTCTCATGGCGAGTTTCACCTTCGTCACCGATATCATGGCGATCGGGTCAAGATGAATCATGGCGTCAACCTTCATACAACATCAAAGCATGCCCTCTCTCATCGTCACCTTCTCTTCTTATATTCGACTTCTTCCCGAGCTAACTCTAACAGCAAACCTTCTGCAC